GAAAACAAAAATCCTCATCCAATGGGGCAATAAATAACATCCATATAAATGGAGAAAAAATTTGAGTTGTTAAAGACTTCAACACTTACGAAAGCAGCAGTCAAGAAATCGAAGGACATATTGCATTAGGCCAATCGGCTTGCACAAGACCTCTTTGAAGTGTTGAAGAACAAAGACATCAGTTTGAGGACTAATGTCATGGTATTTTTAATAACCTCATATCTATGTGAAAGTTGGACAGTGAATAAGAAAGACCGTAGAATTGATGCATGTGAGTTATGGTGTTGGAGGAGACTATTGAAAGTACCATGGGCTGCCACAAAAACAGAGATCCATTTTGGAAGAAGTGCAGCCAGAGTGCTCCTTGGAGGCCAAGATGGCCAAACTTCATCTCTCATACTTCAGACATATGGTCAGGAGGGACCAGTCTCTGGAGAAATCTATCGTGTTTGGTAAGGTGGAGCGTGGGAGAAGAGGAAGACCCCCAGCGAGATGGATTGGCACAGTGACAGCAGCAATGGGCTGTAGCAACAATTATGAGTTTGGCCCAGGATCAGACAGTATTTCGTTCTGCTGTGACTAAGGTTGTCATGGGTCTGTGGCACCCAACAACAGCAATGTTGACCAGGCAAAGAGATTTGTCTATGGGCATGGTAGAGGAGAGGCTGTCCTGCCTTTAAAGACTGTGCCCTGAGCATTTCTGACCCTAAATTGACACCTGGGAACTTCCCTAACCCTAACAATGAGTATGGTGTTAGAGTTCTGTGCAGCTATTGCGATGGATTATTGAACCCAACTGAATAAAGAGTGCTGTGGGGGGAATGGTTTGGGGCCACTTTTCTTTTCTTTTCTTTCCTTTCCTGATTCCTTTTATATTTCTTTGCCACTTTGGGTGCACTGACTGGCTTTGACCATTGGCCGAGAAGCCGGGACCCTGAGGGCTCAGGGCTACAGGAGCCAACCACCAAGTTTCGGCCTCCTCCCGCCGCCTAGAGAGTCCGCGTCGGGCCAGGGGCCGGAAGTTACGGAGCGACTTCCCAGGTTCAATCCGCTCAGCTGCCAAGATGCTCTGGCGCTGGGGCGCCGCGGCCTTACCCGGAGCTGCCCTCAAAGGAAGTGAGTTTGCGCGTCTGAAGCCTCTACGCTTCCGTCTGAACGTCCCGCGCAGTGGGCCCCGACTGGGCGTCGTCGGTGCTGGGGCCGCGCGGGGGGTTGTGGGAGCCACTGGGGCGGGGCAGGCGCTTCTGCCTGGGCATGGGTCGTAGCCTCGGAGGGCGGCTTCTCGGGGTCGGGGTCCCCTACGAGGGCTGGACGGCGGAAGGCCGAGGACGATGGCGCGCCCCCGTCAAGGCCCTACCCCGGAGAGAATGAAGCAGGAGCTCGGGCAGCGCTCAGGGCCGATGTGCCTCTGAATGGCGCTGGCCGGGGCAAGGGGCAGTGGGTGGAAGAACGCCTCCTGCAGCTGGTAGCCAACGCCAGAACGGCACGGAGCCGGCCGAGGAACTGTCCGGTGGCCTGCCCGAGAGGCCTCGACGGTGGTGGACTCCTCTCCAGGTGGAGAAAGGGAGCGTTGCGCGGTAGTTGCTGGTCCGTTCGTCTGTCTGCCCTTCACCCCGCTGAGCCCTGAGCCGGGAGCATCTGCTTCCAGGCTTGTTCGGGTCGCGGTTGTGGGACTGGGGTCCTGCTTTCTTGCTGGCTGTCAGCGGGGCCATCGAGAGCAGCAGCTGGACGTGACCTGTGCATCTCAGAACCAGCTATGGGCGTAGAGTCCTTCTCAGGCTTGGAATCTTTATGACTTTTTCGATACTGCGTCTCTCGTCACGTCTCTTCTGCTTTCAAGAAGTGCTGTGGTTTAGATGGGGCCCACAGCTTTCATTTCCTCTGCTGAGCCCCTTTTACTGTGTATCTAAAACCCAGGGTTGTAGGGATTAAGATGTGGACATGGGGGAGGGCACTCTGCCTCCCACAGACCTCTCTACGTCCTGGTGAGCAAGATCCCCCACATCATGACGATCCCATGCATCGTGAGCATAGCTTGCTACAACTTTTTAGCCAGAACGTCAAAAAACATATATTTGCTTGTGTTGGTCCGTAATATTCGAGAACATTAAACTAGAAAGTGGGAGGGAGAACTTAGTAATCAAAGAAGGGATAGCAGATTTTTCACCAGAAATCTTTGTGATTTTTGTGTATCAAGCCATGTGACTATGTCCCATTCAGTAACAGTGATGATAATTTGAAGTATTTTTAAATAAAGTTAATTGAGTAAATATTCTAATGATTGAGTCTCCCCTTGGGTGAAAGAGCTTGAGAAGGAATCCCCATAGAAACAGCATCTGCATGGTCAGGCTGTGCAGATCAGTCACTGATGATTCCCAGGTCCCAGAGTCTGTTCTCTTGTCGGCTCCGTCACTGTGGCTCATGTAGGAACCCTGCCCACACTTGAACTCATCTTGCCCCTACTTCCTCCCGGAATCCCAGGCTTGGCCAAATTCCCTTTTCTGGTCTGATCCCTCTTACTGCACGGGGACTCCGCTTCACATCCTCACCTGGTTCCACCACCTCTGTCTCCGCACCTTGACTTCCTGCAACCACTAGTGCTTACCATTTTCTGATCTCAGTTCAGCAGCCTCCATTCTGTGAGCAGCCTGGGTCCTCTGAGTGACACCAACCGTACTTCAGAGAAGCCACACCTCCACCCCATCCAGAACCCCTGACCACGCCCCTGATCTCCACCCTCAACTTTATCCCCATCCTCCATCCAAAATGAACTTACTGTCTTCACGAGGCAGGAAGGAACAGGAGATTTTGCTTCTGTTTGTTAGGGTCATCTCCGGAAAGGTCTTGGAAAACATGGAGAGCCTCTCAGTGGAGATGCTGCGTCATGACAGATTGTACCTGACAGAGAGGACAAGATGGTGGGAGCCAATGGCCAGACTGCCCTCCACTCATTGTCAGCACCTCTGACCTTTGGTGCCTCCATCTCACAGTGTGCAGGACTGTGGACCTGATCCAGAGCCCCTCGGGCTTTTCTCCTTTCTCCACCACACTGGCCTCCCCATGATACCGGGAATCTTGAAAATAGGCTGTGTGCCCTGAGCCCCGAGCCCCGCAGTCCCTGGCACACAGTGGGAACTGAAAACACTAGACAAGTGTATGGCCAAGAGGATACGTCTAGTTCTTGGGCTGGCAGGCAATGTCCACAGCAGGCTATAACCTATGACTTCTCTAGGACCCAGAGGTCCCACCAGCTCCTGCTGTTGCTCTCTGTCCTTGGCCCATCAGGCCTAGCTATTGTCCCCTGGGTCCCTCCCAGGATGGCTTCTCACCTCGTGCAGCCAGCACTGAGCACCTCCCTGAGCCAGGAGTCTAAGAAGGATGAGTTAGGCTCTTACTCCCCCAACACCTCCTGCTGTTGCTCTCTGTCCTTGGCCCATCAGGCCTAGCTATTGTCCCCTGGGTCCCTCCCAGGATGGCTCTTACTCCCCCAACACCTCCTGCTGGTGGTTAAGTCAGAAACCAAAGGCCAGGAGAGCTTGAGTCTTGGGGGACGCTTGTGGCAGGAACGAGTTTGGCCTGCTGAAGAGACAGACAGGAGGAGGGTGAGGGACAGATTCCAGGGCACAGGCTCTGAGGGGGCCACTCCTCACCCCAGGATTAGCCCACCCACCCAGCATTGCAGTGGTCTGTCCCCTCAGGTCCAGGGTCAGAACAGACAGAGTCGACCCTGAGACCTGGCAGCCCCAGGCCCTCCTCAAGTCTCAGGCTGCAGTGATGGGGGAAGATGGGGGATGGTCTGGGGAGATGGCCCTCTGCTCAATCACATGTGTCACCACTGGTCTCCAGGTACCAGCGATGCCAAGCCCTGGAGCTCACCTTGAGATGGAGATGGAGCCCGTGGTTCCAGGACCGTGCCCTGAGACCCAAGCCTGCACTCGTGCTGTGACCCACCCTAGGTCAGCACTCCTCAGTTCTCTCTGCTACAGGTGTGCTGACCCAGCAGATGACCCCCTTCATCACCAGCATTCAGGTACCTGGCATGGGTCCCCCACAGGCCCCTTGTTCTGATGAGACAATGTTCCCATTGTCTTTAAGGGTGGGTGCCTCATGGACCCAGGGGACTGATGCCGGATGCCAGAAAGACCTGGTATCTAGAGGGAGAGTCTGGTTTCTTCACCTACCCCAGGTCCTTCATTTTGCTCCATAAGCTGTCAAGCAGCCAGTCTCCTGCCCTCGGTACTCTATTTTCCCTGGTGGTCTCCAAACTACCCATCTCGTCCCAAAGACCCCTCCCTAACTCCCCACACCTCTCAACAGCCATCAGGACGGCTATACAGAGGTGGCATTCCTTACTAGCATCTGATAACGACTGTTTTACAAGGAGATACTCTTAGCTAAGTGTGACCTATTCCTATACTTTAGGACATCTGGACAGGGACCTCAGTGCAGATTCTGCTTGGTGGGGTGGAGGGGGGGAAGTATGCTGTGGAGTTGGTTCCGAGGCTATAAGTCTTTACGGGAGCAGAAAGCCTCATCTTTCTCTTGAGGAATGGCTGGTAGTTTCAAACTGCTGACCTTGAGGTTAGCAGCCTGACTCATAACCACTATGCTACCAGAGCTCCTTAGACTCTGCATAGGGTTAGGGAAAGTTAGGGTGAGGACAGAGATGGTGTTGAGCAGTCTTTTGAGTGCTAAATGGAGCAGAGAGCAGATTCTGAACTGGGTATGTGGAAAGAGAGAGAGACATAAGGTGGTCCTTGTGTGGCCATCAGAGATAGACCTGTTTGTCTACCTGAGCAAAGACAGGAACGATGTTAACCAGACAGCCAAGGGCCACTGCAGGGGGACTAGGTAGGTAAGGTCCAGAGAGCAAGGGGGTCAGAACCCTTGCTCCAGAAAGAACAGGATGGTGACTCCAGTTTAAAAAACCACAGCAGCAGATGGTGGGGGCTGGGTGTGAGTGGAGCCCCACCTGAGCAAGAGGTGTTTTGGGGGCATACATGGTAGACAACCTTGGTGAAGCACCAGGTGAGGTCACTGTTGCATCCTCAGTAACAGTAGACACATGAGAGCCACTTGTAACATTTGTATAAGTGAGGGTTTAGGGCCTGGATAATTAACTATGTCAGACAGGGTTTCACAAACCTGGAAGCTACTAATCATCATGGGCTTTAGTGAATATTTTGTCCGGAGAAAAACTGACAGACTTTGTTCCGGAAGTGCTTGGAGCCCTCACTGCTTTCCCCAGAGTTTGTTCCGGAAGGGCTAGGAGCCCTCACTGCTTTCCCCAGTTGGGTATCAGGGTCATGGAAGCAGCAAGTACAGTGTAAACAAGTATATTTTCTTTTAATCCTTTCCCTTAATCTTAGTCTTTAAACCCAAATTTTAATGACTTTTTAAATATTTTTCTAAAAAAGAAATAATTTCTAATTTTATATTCCCTTTCCAAGGAGAAGCTTATATGTTTCTTCCCCACAGTTCTTAGATACAGAGAAAAGCTGCGTCATATTTAACAAATCCCAAAAGTAAAATGATCGTCCACCATACCACTGTCCCAGTAAAGGTATTTCCATCCACATAGTGGCTCAGGCTGGACATGGTCCATCCTCGCTTCTCCCTGCCCCTTCCTCCCACTCTATCCCACCGCTTCCTCCTACCCACCCCTCCCCTGTGCCCAGCTATTCTGTGTATCTTGAGTTCTCCCACCTGTCTCTATTCTTTGTGTCCACACTAGTGACCTCATGTGCAAAACTAGGGCCAGCAAATGATCCTCAGGAACATTCGGCTGCTGGCCTGCTTTTTTAGCCTACAAGCTTCAAGTTTTTAAAGGACTGCAAAACAGAAAAGAGAGCCCTGCTGTGGTTAGTACTGGACTGCTTAACCACAAGGTTGGTGTTTTAAACCCACCAGCTGCTGCTCAGAAACCCTAGACAGGGTCACTTTAACAACAACAGCAAAAAGAAACCATGACGTAAACCATAAACTACAAGTCTCTGACCTTTTACAGAAAACTGCAGATTTATGTCTATGTAGTCATCACAGCCTTCAGTTTTCCCTCGCCCGTCCCTTTACCGTACACAGCCAGTGCAGGGCTATGAGAGTTCATGTGCAGTGAATGATGATGGGTGGGCTGGAGGTGCTACAGCCGGGGAAGGAGAAGCACCCACATCTGTCTCCAGTACCTGGGACAGAGACAGCCTGAGATGCCAACGTGCAGCATGTCTAGACCACAGATGTCATGGTGCTGAAGACAAGGCAGAAGGTGTGGTGACAGAGGGACTGGTAGACCCCTCAGGTTACTACGCAGAGAACAGAAGCATCTAGGCTGATGGCAGGGAAACAGAATGCCACTGTGCTGGCAACCCAAAGAGTCTCAACCAGAGAGTCAGCCTGAACCCAGAGGTGGGATGAAAGCGCTACTGGGCCCAAGGAGTGGGGAGGTTGGGTGGAGGGGACATCTATCTTGGTTCGCTACTGCTATTCTAAAAGAAATGCCACATGCAGTTGGTTTTGAAGAACAAAAATCGATTTCCTCATAATTATAGACCCTAAAAATTCAAGTCAGGCTCCCAACTCTGCCAGTCCTCCTTATTGGTAACCTTGGACATTCCTTGATTTTTTGGTGATTCTTACATGACATCTTCCCCTATGTGTCTTCCCTACTCTTGTTATAACTCAAAAGTGATTTGATTTAGAACCCACCCTACTCTGATAGGATCTAACAACATATCAGAGTTTAGAAATCCTACATATTTTAGCAGAGGCACACTTTAATTCATAATGGTATCCTTTTTCCATCTTCTCTGCATTACTGACACTGCTCAACAAGGAGGCATTTCAGATTTGGGATGTGGGGTCCGTGCTTCCCTGTTAGGGAGTACTCAGTGCTGGGTGGGAAATAGCAAGGAATCGCATGAGGGGAGGGACTGCCATTTATGTGGCTGGTCAGAGGCAGCCTCTTCAGTAAGGGGTATTTGAGCAGAAACATGGCAAAAGGGAAGGCGAGAATGCAAGGATCATTGTGAAGAACATTCCAGGAGAGGAAGAAGGTAGTAGAGACTTTGGTGGTGGTGGTGGTGTGCCGTGGAGTCAGTTTCGACTCATCACGACCCTGTATAGGGTTTCTGAGGCTACAGATCTTTATGGGAGCAGAAAGCCTCATCTTTCTCCAACGGAACTGTTGGTAGTTTCGAACTGCTGACCTTGAGGTTAGCAGCCTGACTTGTAACCACTACGCTACCAGAGCTCCTAGTAGAGATTTTAGAGTGGGGCATAGCCACTGTATTCAAGGAACATTAAGAATGGCGATGGCACGAGAAATTAGGAGGGGCCTATGCCATATGGTCACTGGAGGACTTGAATGTGCTCCCAGCAGTGACAGTAGTGTGACCTGATGTCTAGGGACAAGAGGGGACGTAAGGAGAGTTGGTGAGTTACTTAGCATCCAGGCAAGGGAAGATGGCGGTATGGTCTGGAGTGTCTTCGTTTGAACGAGACAGAGACTCTAGTTCTTTACTTGAGGGAGAGATCCAGGGCCACGAGGGTTTTATCATTCCTTCTGGTAGAGCGGAGAGAGACAAAGTCACTTTCTGACTTGATGAGGCACCATACATATACTTCTGTCTTCAGAAAGACAAACATGGCAGTATACAGATTGTTACTGGGTATGTTTGACTGGTAAAAAAGCCCATTTTATAGGACATAGCCACAGTCTTTGAAGGCTCCCTGGAGGTTCATACAAGTGCCCACTGCATTAGGATTGGATACTCCCAGGCAACTCTCAAGCCATGTCAGCTGATTGGCTTTACTCCTCTGCACCTGCCATGCTGGTAACTGTGTGACTGGGACGGGAACTCCATCAGTTGGCACTGAGAGATTAAAAGCAGCCTCAGAGGGTTACAGCCAAATAAGAAAACAAAACAGCAAAAATCAGGGCAGAGTGTGTGACGGTGTAAGAAGCACATGTGTTTCCTTGTAGGATGGGAGAGATGGTCAGAGGGACATGTGAATTTGACACATCCCAAGGTAGAGCCAATAAGACTTGCTGATGCTCCAGCTGTGAGTGGAGATGAAGCGAGGCTGGGGGTTCTCGATATTCTGGCCTCATCCAAAAGGGAAATTGCAGGTGCGTGTCCTGAAGTGGGGGATCCTGAGAGAGGTCTAAGTCTACCAAGAGTTCGCCTTGTCCTCTGCTGCCCTGCAACCTCACCTGACAGCTTTACAGTCTTGCTTTATCACCTCACAAGATCCAGGGAATTCCCCATCACCATGTGCATCCCTGGGCCTCTTGCCTCCTTCACAGAAGACAAGAGGCTAAAACAGCAAACTCATCTCTTATTGTCTTCCGGCCATAGCAGTTCCTCCCATGTGACTTTATGCTTACTCTTTCAGATTGTGACACTAGAACCGAGGACACGAAGTTCCTTCATACTGAAGACATTTCTAAGGGCTTAGAATCAAAAACAGAAGTAGCAGAAAACCCTGTCCGTGATGCTTCCCAGGTACCTGAGCTTAGAGAACTCTGTGATGCCGTCCTGGAAGGAGATTGGAGCATCCCTGAAGGTGAGAGACAGGAGGGGAACTTGACACCTGTGGCAGTGATCCTTAAGAAGACGCTGTCAGAAGAGGAAGATCTGGACTGTAATGATTTGGGGAGGCACTTGAGTCTGAGCCCAGACCTGATAGGATGTCAGGGAATTCCTGCAGAAGACAGGCCATGTTCATATGGCTCATGTGACCAGACCTTCCGCCGTAACATGGACCTTACTGATTGTCAGGAGGGTCACACAGCCAACAGCCCACTTATATGTAGTGAGTGTGGGAAAACCTTCCAAGGGAGTCCTGGTCTTATCCAACATCCGGTAATCCACGATGGAGAGAAGTCCTTGGTTTGCAGTGCATGTGCAGAAGCCTTCCGCCAGAACACAGTTCTTAAAAACCACCAGAGAGCTCAGATGAGTGAGAAACCTTACCAGTGCAGTGAGTGTGGGAAAACCTTCAGTGTACACTCCAATCTGATCAGACATCAGGTCAACCACAGTAGAGAGAAGTCTTATGTATGTCATGAATGTGGGAAAGCCTTTAGCCAGAACTCAAGCCTCAAAAAACATCAAAAGTCTCACCTGAGTGAGAAAGCTTATGCATGCAGCGAATGTGGTAAGGCTTTCAGGCGGAGCTCAAACCTCATCCAACATCAAAGAATTCATTCTGGAGAGAAACCTTACGTGTGCAGTGAATGCGGGAAGGCCTTCAGACGGAGCTCAAACCTCATGAAACACCACAGGATTCACACAGGTGAGAAGCCCTTTGAGTGTAATGAGTGTGGGAAAGCATTTAGCCAGAGCGCCCATCTGAGGAAACATCAAAGAGTTCACACTGGAGAGAAACCCTATGAGTGTAATGAGTGTGGGAAACCGTTCAGTCGGGTGTCAAACCTCATCAAGCATCACAGGGTTCACACTGGAGAGAAACCTTATAAGTGCAGTGACTGTGGGAAAGCATTTAGTCAGAGTTCAAGCCTCATTCAGCATCGGAGAATTCACACTGGCGAAAAGCCTCATGTGTGTACGGTGTGTGGAAAAGCCTTTAGTTACAGCTCAGTCCTCAGAAAGCACCAGATCATCCACACGGGAGAGAAGCCATATGAATGTGGTGTCTGTGGAAAAGCCTTTAGTTACAGCTCAGCCCTCATTCAGCATCAGGGTGTGCACACAGGTGACAAACCCTATGAGTGCCACGAGTGTGGGAAGACCTTCGGCCGCAGCTCAAACCTTATTCTTCACCAACGAGTTCACACTGGAGAGAAACCCTACGAATGTACTCAGTGTGGAAAAACCTTCAGCCAGAGCTCAACCCTTATTCAGCATCAGAGAATTCATAATGGATTAAAGCCCCATGAATGTAATCAGTGTGGTAAAGCCTTCAACCGAAGCTCAAACCTCATTCACCACCAAAAAGTTCACACTGGAGAGAAACCCTACACGTGTGTGGAATGTGGTAAGGGCTTCAGCCAGAGCTCTCACCTTATCCAGCATCAGATTATCCACACTGGTGAGAGACCCTATAAATGCAGCGAGTGTGGGAAATCCTTCAGTCAGCGCTCGGTCCTCATCCAGCACCTGCGAATTCACACTGGCGTGAAGCCCTACAGCTGCACCACCTGTGGGAAAGCCTTCAACCAGCGGTCAAAACTGATCAAGCACCAGCTGATTCACACAAGGGAATGAAGTTGCAATGTGGCTTCATCTGCAGCTCCTCTAGCCATTGGCTTGGCCTCTCACTTTCTGAACTTGAAGCCCAGAGTCCCTCCTCACCACCCCTCCACCCCAGTGTCCAGACCCTCCTTGGAACTGTCCTTTTTCAGTCCCACTTTTCTACTACTCTGCACCTTGTGTGTGGCCTCTGCTTTTTTTTCTCCTTAAACAATTCGTGAGCAGCTTGCTGCCATTTCTTGGGTTCAGGGAAGATTGTGAAAGTTGAGTGTTCATGAATAGAGTTTACTATTGTAATCAAGCCTTACCAACAATTTAAATGACGTTTGATTAGAGACAACCATAGTAGCCTTCTTGTTTGGTAATTAGTCTTGAGTAGTAAGTCCTTTGTCGATGGCTATAATTGACACCTGGTGACATGAAGTCAAGTTCAGAGTTTTCAGTTCCTGATTGCCTGTCACCATGTCCTGAAGATGGTGCATACTCATAACCACCAAGCTCCTCAGACTTTCCTGTCTACCATGTCAAGAATGTGGGCCCGAAACTCCCTCACTACCTCCTCTCATTTATCCTGTGTCCAGTCCAAGTCTGTGCTTTCTCATCCTCCTCAGTTGGCTATCACTCCCAACCTCCAGTTGATACCTCTTTGTTCTGCCAGTGCCCCACAAAGGCTATCACTCTCCCCACAAGGTTTCAGACTTGGTTTTCTCCCAGATCTGTCCATCAGCATTTGTGGACTGGCATGTCCTTTTGGTGCTCCCATCATTTTCTTTAGCACTTGTTTTACTTTCTGACACAAGATACCGAATACTCAATTTGTACTTTCTCTGTTCCAACCCTTTAATTAGCCACTTTCCCAAGGAGTCTTGGCCCCTTTTAGTGGAGAATAGTTTTGGGAAACCAGAAACTGGGTGCTAGCTAGTTGTATTCATTGTTACTGCCATTATCATTTATTCTGTTGTTGTTAGAGTTGTTAAGTGCTGTCGAGTCAGTTCCGACCCATAGCAATGCTGTATAGAGTTTCCAAGGAGCAGCTGGTGAGCTTGAACCACCAACCCTGCAGTTCAAATGACTTTGCAGTCCAGTGCATTAGTCCCCAGCATCTCACCAGGACTCCATCATTTATTCTAGACCCAAGGTAATAATGTGTATGTGTAGGTATGGGTGGTGCATATGTAACAGTGCTTGGCTGCTAACTTAAAGGTGGGTGGTTTGAGACTACCAGAAACATCTTAGAAGAAAGTCCTGGTAATCCTACTTTCAGACAATCAGCCACTGAAAGCATCTGGCATACAGTTCTACTCTGATATACTTGGGATTGCCTTAAGCTAGAATTGACAGCCACTATTTGTTCAATGTAGACACACTACCTTGTGTCAACTTCCACACCTATCAATATGGTTTAAGAACATAAGTTTTTACTGATTCCACCAATTCCAATCTACCATGACAGGGCTCATTCTATCCTTCTCCACACTCCATATTTGTAACTTCCTCTTTTGACAGAAATTTTATTCCTAATAATATGAGGGTCACAAGTATTGCTACTAGTGTTCTAATTCGTACATGTACAGATTTATTCTAAACTAAACATGTTTAAACATGTCTCTGCAAATCAGTGGATGTCTGCTGACTATACACTTGTCATAGTCCTGTTAGAGTACCCTCCAAAAAATGATCCAATCCAAACAGTGGCTCTTGAGGATTCTAGCGTAGTGGTTACGAATAGGGCTGCGAACCTTAAGGTCAGCGGTTCGAAACTACCAGCCGCTCTGCGGGAGAAAGATGAGGCTTTCTACTCCCGTAAAGATTTACACCCTCGGAAACCCTGTACAGGGTCGCTATGGGTCGGAACCGACTCGATGGCACTTAACAACAACAACAACTGAACCAGCTCAAGACAGGTCAGCTCAGATGCCAAGGAGGTTTTGTTTGCCATCACAGTGATGCACTTGCTTATTCGTCAAGGTCAGCCAGGGCTTTCCTGTGAGCATTTTCTTGGGAAGCTCTGTAACCCACAGCCTGATCTTCTCCCTTCAGACGTCTTTTTGTTCCTAAAGCTCAAAAAGCATTGATAAGAAACACAATTTACATCCCTCAAGGATGTCCAAACTGCTGTTTGGATGTGCTGTAAATTGAGCACAGATTCTTAAGGGTTAGGGAAACTGCAGGTGTGTGTCCTGAAGTGGGGAATCCTGAGAGATCAAGGAACACCACCCTCAGAGTGTATAGGCCGAGAAGGATATGTTAAGTGATTGAGAAACAATCGCTCACATTTTGGTATTGTTTAATAAAAGTTTCTATGATTTTATAGCAAGACTTATTTTTTCAATTTTTTATTGTGAATCAAGTGGTAGTTTACATGGAGAACATTAGCTTTACATGCATCCTATCGTATTTCGTTTCATTGCAATGATTACAATCCCCTCCATGCATCATCAGACAACCAAAGGGTACACCCCACAGGCCTACCCTCCAGCCGTCAGCACACAGACCCTCTTCCTCCCTGAGTCCAGAGTCCCCAGCAGCTCCATCTCTCTACGTCATCGGCTCTGCCTCCATCTCTAGTGTCATGGCTTCTCTGGATAGGGTCCCACACTCGGCTCTGCTCCCTTGATGGTCCCAGGGTCCTCTGCTCCTGGACTACAAGATCAACCACTCCCCTCCTTTTGTTACACAACGTCTACCTTTACATTTCCAACCCTCACAGTCAGTCCTGATAGCAATTATTCACTATTGAACCACAAGAGTCTTATCCCAGCTCAGAATCTGGAGAAATTAGCTCCAAGTCAGCCGGCTTAATGAAATCTGGAACTCTGCTTCACCTCTCTGAGAAGCCTCGGTTTCTTTGACCATGAATCTAAAACTGCTGTAACATTGGTTCCCTGACTGGGAAACAGACCGCGCTGGCCCCTTGAGCCACCGAGTTGGAGTCGGGGAGTGGCTGATGGCGAGCTCCCCTCAGTGGATAAGAAGGCGCGGCCACCACCACATCTGATGGTCCCTCATCCTCTGAGTGG